AACCGCTCTCTAAGGTAATATCTCTATTAGGACCTGTTATGTTAGGAAAAATCATTTGAGCAATGATTGCATTGACTTACTTAATGGATTAGAGATACTTTTTGCATAACTTGATTACAAATTTAGCTAAAATTGTTTTTTCAATTAGTATTAGTTTTGACTTTTTTTATTGAGACTGAGGTATACAGAGATTTTCATCAGGATACAGTTATTGAACAACACTTGGAAGATTTTCAACTGGAGGTGCCAACGGTGGGGGTGCCTAATGGTTCCTCAGAGCAAACAAATCATTTATGTTATTGCACTGAGCCATTAATAGCGCCAGAATCCTATGCTCAAATCATTCACACGAACCCAACAAGTGGTTCAGGTGAAGAAGTTGAGCCACAGAATCTCTGCACCATTTCCAGTTTCACTAACTCATTTCGCCAATTTGACGATGAGGAAAATATGAAGGTTGAAGGTTCACCTTCTTCTGAGTCCGAAAGAACAGAAGCAATAAATATACTGCCATCAGTTAGTCTAGAGGCAGAACAACTTCTTTTTGGTGTCTTTGACGAAGTTAAAAGCAGTGAAATCCAGATAATGGAATCAGGATTTCCGGGATATATAGATATAGAAAATTTCCCCTCATGCAGCCCAGATGGCACTGAAGAGCTGGATACCGATCAATCACACTCACCACCGGAAAAATTTGTTGAAGATAATCAATCACCTGATTCGAAGAACTCGACAGGAAATATGAGGGTAGCATCAAGTCCCATAGGTATTACTAGAAGTCATAAGGCCGCTATCAAGGAAGTTGGGCGGATGGCAGAATCATTGCCTATTATTTGGTCTCAGATTGATGGTTTTGGTGGACATGATGATCATTGGTTAAGCCATTCACTGGATTCAAATTCCGAACCCCTGAAGTGGACAATGCAAAGCAAAGATAATTTGAGCTCTATAATAGCAGACGGAAATGAAGAGCACCAATTCGCGGCAGAGCTGCTAGATATCAAGGATGCCCTGGTAACTGGGGAGCTCAAAGACATTCCTTTCAATCCTGCAATTGGTAAGACATTGTCGCTATTTTTACTTAATATTCTCTCACATTTCAAGAGTGATTAGATGTGGCGCTTCCAAATTTTGTTTCTTTTGTGGACAAGTTGACGTTATTGTACTCACCCTAGAAATGATATATTCCCACCCTGTGTTTGGAACCATTTACCAATTAGCTCACTTTTTTTTTTGGATTATTTTTGTTGTTAGTTTCAAGTTGTATTTGACATGGCAAGCTAAATGGAATAGCTTCATTATTCTTTGGGTTTAGGAAGCTGTAGGAAAACAAATTGTGTTATTTGCAGAAATTTCTCTTTGCAAACACTTGTTTTACAAAGGGTTGGGGCCTGATGCCCCTTCTCAAGCATTTGACGCCGAAAAACTGGAGCTTGAGAAATTTACTTCCCTAGGCCCGAGGTTTGTGAAAGATGATAGGTTTGTTGTGAGAATTAACGGTTTATATTTTCCATGGGATGCGGCTGCTCCTATTGTTTAAGGAATGGTTTCATTTGGAGGTGCACAAATACTAGAACCAAAAGGCACGATGGCTGTTAACCAGGTTGAGAAAACTATTACAGGAGATCCATCAAAAGAAAGTATTTCTCCAAGTGGAAACTGGAGACTGTGGCCTTTCTCCTTCAGGCGCTCGAGATCACGGAAGGCCATGCAATCAGTTCTATCTGATGTCACAACTTCAGACGTTGTAAATGCTTCAGAGATCAAGATGGGCGTGATTGAAGGTAAAAATATGCTTGAAAGCAAGGCGGTAAAGAAAATGGTAAGGGTCCTTTGTCCAACATCTGAACAGCTGGCATCTCTGAATCTGAACGAAGGAAGGAATACCATAACCTTTACATTCTTGACTCCCATGTTGGGGAAACAACAGGTTTTTTTTTTTTAATTTTTTCTTTTTGTTATTTTTTGGTCTTCTCTCTTGCCAAATTTTTCTTACTTAAAATCTCCTCTCCATTTCGTGTTATTTGTATACTTTTTTTGGCCGAGCACTTGCACATAATTGTATTGTTCAATAGGTTGATGCCAGAATTTATCTGTGGAAATGGAACACTAAAATAGTAATCTCAGATGTTGATGGAACAATAACTAGGTAATTCTGTTTCTCTGTCTTTCTAATTTGACTGGAACTTTTAATACATTGTGTTCTAAAACAGAATGGTTTAAGCTTTCTATATTGCATTTCTTTTTGAGATATTTCATGGAACATATAAATGCTGCTAGAATGGAGTTCTTAGTTGTTTCCAATACTTTCTCTTTACTTTTCTTTATGACCTACTTTTTAAGCTTTCATTGTATAAATTCCAAGATTTTTCTTGAATTGTCTGATCCCCATGTTTTCGCTGGTGTTACAGATCTGATGTTCTGGGTCAATTTATGCCCCTGGTTGGAGTAGATTGGTCACATTTAGGTGTTGCACATTTGTTTTCAGCCATTAAGGTTTGTTTTGAGATTTCAAGATTTTGTTCCTTCATTACAGCACATGTAGAAACTTTGATGGGTTTGGCTTTAGACCATCTCATAGGTCGGTCTCGTCCTCAACCAACTAATTTTATTTGGAATTTGCTTATTAGCCTACTTATTCTGTCATATGGTGTATAGTGATGCCAGTATTATTTCCTTGTTTGGTTGTTTATAACCCAAATATTTTATCTTTTCTCCACACTATAATTGATGACTAGCAAGAACCAGTAAGTTATTTTCACGGGTTTCAGGAAAATGGATATCAATTGCTTTTTCTTAGCGCTCGTGCAATTTCACAGGCCTACCTCACAAGGCAATTTCTGTTCAACCTTAAGCAGGTGAGGGAAAAGAACATATTTGTCAACTATTCTTTGTTTTAATTTAAGACATGAAATTTGAGAAAACCGGACAAGTTCTTTTCAATAATTTTGTTCCACATTTTCAGGATGGAAAGGCTTTACCGGATGGGCCTGTAGTTATTTCCCCTGATGGGCTGTTTCCTTCTCTTTATCGAGAAGGTAAGTATTATTGTTATTGCTTTTGCATTGTGCTTTCACAACTTCATGGTTTCTTTCATATCAGTTTAAAATTTTTGGAATGAAAACGGATGGAATAGTACTATTCTCCTTGTGTTATTTATTATTTTTGACCTTGTAAGCTTTTCAAACAACCGTCTTCTATGTAGAGTCCATGCAAAGAATGAGAAATTCCATTTCGGTATTCTTCTTACAGCCAAACGTTGTTCTGAGGCGGACATATGAAATTGTGTTTTTCTTCTATCAGGAAGAGCCCTGAGAATTCTTATTGATAGATTTCGGTTTTTATTTGTTAACATTTCTCTTCAGGTTTATCATCTTCCTTGTTCTCAAACAAGAAGAGAGGCAATTCTTTGAAAGTTTTTGATTGATATCTTTTCTTAGTACCAAATGTTACTGTCTGCAGAAGCATATATATTCTCTGGTTATTACAACTCACCTGAATTAAGTTCACATATAATTCTTGCATGAATGCTTTTGCAGTTACTTTATATAATTCACATTTAAATAATTTGAATATTTTGTATGAACAATGCCTGGACTAAGAAATGCTCTTTTTTCCTCAGTTATCAGGAGGGCTCCTCATGAGTTCAAGATTTCATGCTTAGAGGTTAGTTTCTGATTATCTTTATCTTGACAGATTCATTTCTTTCTTTCAGCACCATAATCTTATTTATGGACTCCTAATAATATTTGGTTTTTTTATTCTCTCTCTCTCTCTGTTTTTTATTTTTTTTTTATTTTTATTTTGGCTGATAACTTCATCTCTGCAATTTTTTTTTCTTCCAGGAGATCAGGTCATTGTTTCCTCCTGATTGCAATCCTTTCTATGCTGGTTTTGGAAATAGGGATACTGATGAAATCAGCTACCTTAAGGTTGGATTACCAAAAGGAAAAATCTTCATCGTCAATCCAAAGGTAAAAAGACCCTTCATACTAGTATCATAATTGTAAAGATTTGTCTCATCTTTCTATTCTAACATTTTAAGCTTGTAGGGAGAGGTTGCTGTAAACCGCCGTCTCGACACGAAATCATACAAATCCCTTCACGCTCTTGTTAACGATATGTTTCCACTGGCGACATCATTTGAGCAGGTCCGGCTTCTGCAGCCCTGTTATGTTCTGGGACAGTTTTTCAAATATTAATATTCCCTTCCATTAATCTTGAGGGGATTTCTTTTGGCCCATGTTCTAAGTCTTAATTTAATTGACAGGAGGACTTCAATTCATGGAATTTCTGGAAACTTCCGCCGCCAATAATTGATGTTTAAAGCCTTCAAAGAAGCTCGAGTGCTTCAGCTTCATCAAAATGCAGGAACGCCGTCGCGCAGCTATTATAAAATCGTTCTCGTAAGTCCTGATTTTAACTTTGGAACTTTTTTACTGATTAGTCAGAATTCAGTTATAAAATTTGGAGCTGAAAACAAATTAGGGAATGGGAGAAAATGTAAGAAATCCAGTTATCTTAAACTTAAAGTTGATACAATAATAAGATTACAAAAGTGCAGTAGTATAATAACGTTTTGGTGGCATTTATTCAGGGTTCAGATCAGAAGCGGCCAAGGCTATATATACAAACGTTCAATTTTGTACAACACGAGCTGATCTGCAACTATAGAAGTGAAAATAATCAGCTAATACAAAGTCTCAGAAAGAAGATCAGTTGTTGTTCGTTTTGCTTGTATTTTTGTTTGGTCGAGTGCTTCAAAAACAGACCAATTTCTGATTTGTATATATATGGGCCATGCGATCCAAGGACAGGAGAATATGTCAGTAAGGGTAGGAAGTCACATGTTTTTTTTTTTTTTTTTGCCTGTATGTAAACGTTAAATTAATGTTTAATTTTTTATTTTTTATTTTTTTTGAGAAAAACACATAGAACACAAAATCCGCGCAGATCCACCACAATTACTTTCCAAGTAAACGCTATAAGCAATAAGTGGATATGTGGTCTAAGTAGAAAACGACAAGAAACTTAGGGAGAGGGAGGCACGTTGATTATTACAGATAACAGGAGCCTTTAAAAGGAACAACTAGGTGTCCTTGTGATAAAGAAAGGAAGTTGTAAAAATGCGAACGGCATGTCGCTTTTTCCTTAAGACGACAACAATATTAAACGCAAACATGTTAATTGGCTCTGTCTAGCCTCTAAAGGTGACGGAATAATAATAAAAACCGAATAATAATGAAAATAGGAATGATAATGGTAATAAAATAGAATGAAAATAAAAATTAATTTATTTGTTTGGTTAAAATTTAAAATGGATCATCATTATTTTTATTTTGACTAATTTACTCTTTAAAAAGTAATATAAAATAATCAATAGTCAAAGTCTTCTTTTTTCTTAAAAAAACAAATTTAAAAAGGAAAATAAAAAACTTCGATCCTGTCGTTTATACACAAACGCCAGTGAAACACCAATAAAAGAAAAAATAAAAAAAAAAACCGTCATGGATGACAATATGTAGCAGGAGTACCCATAAATCTACACTACTATCGGCATTGCGCAATAGCTCCACTCCCACCAGAATCGTCAGCACCCTTCGGCGTTGCAGTGACCGAAGCTCGCCATCATTAGAAAGCTGTCGAGCGATGTTCAATAGCTTTCTGAAGAGGAGATAGAATGACATATTTAATGGTGCTAGAGAGACTTGTCCTCATCTTTAGATGTATAAAATGATTTTTTCAGATCAATCTTCTAGATCTAGATCTTGATATTTTTGTTGGATGGCGGGTCTAGGCAAGGAGGATAGATTGGGTAAGGATGCTGAGAGAAGGCGACGGTTTGGCGAGTATAGTTGTCGGAGGAGCGACGACGACGAATCTACAGACAGGAGGAATGATGATCCAACAATTTTGGTGAATGACTTTTCTTGATTATAAAACAAACCAAACTTCAGATTTACATTCTTTTTCATTCTATTCTTTTCCTTTCTCCCTAAATAAATGCACTTTAACGACATGTTTACTTTGCATCAAAAGGAAAGAGAAAGTGAAGAGTGATTCTCTTTCACATTTAATAATGTGTTACAAAATTAGTAATAGAGATTTTAGTGAGCCCCAAACAACATAGAGAATGAGAAAAGAGAATGCCAATTCTTGCTCTGTATTGATTTCTTGTCAAAAGGAATGAATGTTAAATTTACTTATCTATCCTTAATGAATTACTATATAATTAATAATCATCAAATTGTATAAAAAGACATTTTAGTGATTACATTTATAACATTGTTATTTCTAATTTTAGTAAATATAAAAAAAGAAATGACATTGTTTCTCATTACACCATATAATAGTCAAGTAAATATTTGAAAAGAATAAATGACCCTTAATTCTATTATTTTACTTTATTTTCTAGTTTCATTACGTTTCCGTTACATTCTTTTACGGTTTGATAACGCACTCTAAACTTACACCACGTGCCGTTCGTTGAATGAATTATGAGCGGCGAGGTCTGCAGAAAATGACATTTTCTTGTAGTAGCGTGAAATTCCCTAATCTTTTTGGCCATTCATTGTTATGGAAATTACAATATGTGTTTCCCCAAAAGAGAAAAAAAAAATTACATAATCTTTTCGCTGCGCCTTCTTTCCCAAATAAATGGCCGGACGCTATTGATAGCTATGTCCACTTTGTTCGGATCACGATGGATTTTTAAAGTAGTGGAGTGTGTGTGTGTTTCTTTTTTCTTTTTTTTTTTTTGTGTGGGGGAAAGTAATAATGATGCCGATTCTTCAAGAAAAACGAAAGAGAAGAATAAAGAGAATAATTGATAGGTGGACCGTTATGCGAATAGAGACATAATAAAGGGTAGATATCTTAGGCGTCCTGGGTAAATTTTATACGTCGATCATGGTCCATCCATGAAAAAGGGAATGTTTTTTTTAGGGACGAGAAATCAAAGTTTGCTACTTTTTTTTTCTTTTTTGGCTAATCAAACTCTTTACTAATTTCTTAATCACTTTATAAGAACTCTAACCATACTAGCTATTTCATATTTTTAGCTAAAATAGCTAATGATTTAACTAGAATTTAGCTTTTTTCCACTACAATTATTAACTAAATAGTTAGTTAGTTTAGAGAATTCATTTCACACTAACACGTTAGTTCATTGTCTCTTTTGTTCCGTTTGATAATCATTCTTCAATCAAATAAATGAAATTAGGAAATGTTTTTATGTTTTTATAATTGCTATAAGTAATTAATATTGTTGCAATTCTATCTTTTGTATTACTATTAGTTTTAAAAATTTTGTAAAGTGCCATTAAGATGAATTTCTCAATCTGAACACTTCCTACAGATCTCTTGATACTATCCGTACAGTTCTAAGCACACACCTGAAGGCTGAGATACAGGAATAATTGTCATCAACTTTGAAAAAGAAGAAAAAATACTTTTAATTTTCTTAGGTCCATACTGCTGGCCATGAAGTCTTGGAGATTAAGCCATCAAGGATACTGATTCTTCTAGCTTAATTAGTTCCATTAATAACAACATGATAATGCTGATTTCGGTAAGACTATCCATAAATAATAAATAAATGATATCCATAAACTTCGATATATTCAATTTTATTTGAAGTCGGTTGCTTTACACGAGTATGATCGCTTTTTTATTAAAAAAATCACTAAACATTAATTTGTATTTTAGTACTAGTAATATTCCTATCCTTAATTATGTACAAAATTAAGAGCATATGTACTAGCTAACTAGATATATCATCCTGATCTAATTATCGCCAAAAATAAGTTCTGCAAGGAACAACTTCCACGTACTTAAAAAAAAAAAAAAAAAAACTAGAAGGAATAATCAACGTCAAGAAAAAAAATAAGACTTCCCAACTAGTACTTTTGCTAGTTGCTTAATTGATTAATTGCATTAAACACATGCACTAGGGCATTAAAATTTATTTACTTCGGTAAAGTGATTGCAAAATAATAAGCGCTCGCCCTCCTTCCTTTTCAAACCAAAAAAAAAAAGAAAAAAAAGAAAGAAAACATAAAAGCGAGATAGCACAAGCTTATTATCTGACATAGCACTTAAATATTAAAAATAGCTAGTAGCTAGCATAGCTACACAGTACATTTACGTACGCAGGTTCGTACGTACGTACGGAAGGAGTTATATATAATTACGAGCAAATAAAAAGAAGATACGTAAGGAAAAAAAGATGGGCATTATTTGGAAGGCATTTTATACCCAATATTATAAGCATAATCAACGAGTTCTTCCAACTCCTTATCAGTAAGATCAACGTAGCCGCTACCGTCTGCATCTGCATGGGACATAGCTTTCCAAGCTCTGTAAGAGCCACAGTTTGATCCCAAATATTTGAAGGCTTGCTTGATTTCCTCCTTTGAAAGTTTCCCATCTCCATTCAAGTCGTAACTTTTCAAAGCTTCCTTTAGCTTCTCTTTACTCCAGTACTGAACTTTGTCGACTGTTCTGTGGTTGATTGGCTTAACCGAAAAGTTGGCCGGAGTTTGGACTAGTATGACCATGGTAGGCTAAAATAAAAGAAGTGAGAGATAACTATGGAAAGGGTTTTTGAATAATTGATGAAACTGCGACAGGAAATTACTTATTGATCAGTACTTGTAGGAAGATATGTAAGATAGCAATGTCGATTTATAGGGCTATTCAGGGAATCTTTGTAAAGGTGTTCTAGTTATCTTTTATGAGAGACACGTGCGTGCGCATTTGAAAATTAATCTAAACGATTCTCCTTGCAACTTGTCACAAGGAAATGAAAAATATTGTACCGGAAATAATTCCTTCTTTTGTTTTTCTTTCATGTGATTTGGACAAGTCGTGAAAAAGCTAGATGCCTTTATCTCCGCTAATTTTTATCTGAATAAATGCGTAATCTTTACATTAAAGATTATGACACTTGATCTTGAGATTATGTTGTATTTTTTTATTTATTAAAGACGAGAGAGAATAACTGATCATATCAGATTTTATTAATATATTATTATGAATTTTCACTAACGTAAAGTGTACGTTATCATTATCAAGTTATAAAGTTCGTAAATACGAGTATCGTCCTATGAAGATTGATTGATATTAAGTATCAAAATTGTGTTAAGTCTAACTTTATTTGAATTAAATGAAATTGGATTGAAGATGATGATAAAAATTAAAACAAATTAAAGAAAACTAACACTACAAAAAAATTGATATTTAACGTCTCTTATTAGACAACAGTTTTACAAGAAACCGTCGTCTAATGTGTTGACCCAAAACACATACAAGCTGACAAAATATTAGATGACAATTTCTTATAAAACCGTCGTCTAATGTGAGTGCAGAAACTCAAAAATGAAATTTAACCTCGAATCTATTTTTATTTCGAGACAAAACCCAACTCAAAAGCTTTGCCGATCTCTCTCTCTTCCCGTGAACATATTGTCGCCACCCACTGCCCAAAAATCTCTCTCTCTGTCTCTCTTGACGCCGCCACCGCCATTCTCTCTCTTCGTCTCTCGCTCCGTCTCTCTCTCCATCTCTTACCGTAGCACGTGAAAAGGAAACAAACTATCCCAAAGTCCTCCTGCAAATACACAAACTTATCAAGGTAAAGTTGTCTGTCAAATTTGTAATAAGGCTAACCATTCAGCTCTAAAATGTGCAAACAGGTTCTCATCATTGAAGAAAGGTCTAGCCGCAATGAACATCTATGATGACTATGACCCAACTCTTTATATTGATTCAGGTGCCACAATGCACATACTATAAGGGAAATGAGTCCTTATATGTTGGGAATGGAGAAAAATTAGATATCACTCATATTGGTGAAGGCAACGTCA